GTGGTTGGAGAAGATGCTGAGGTCCTGCCACAAAGGCAGCAGGTGCCAACCCTCCCGAGGGGCTGCAATCATCATCCCAGGGGATGGAATCAGCGTTCCAGGGACTGGAATCATCATCCCAGGAGCTGGAATCATCACCCCAGGGGCTGGGATCATTGCCCCAGGGACTTGGAATTGTCATCCCAGGGGCTGCCAATCATTGTCCCAGGGGCTGGAATCATCGTCCCAGGAGCTCTAATCATCACCCCAGGGGCTGGAATCATCACCCCAGGGGCTGGAATCATCGCCCCAGGAGGTCCAGCCCACTCTCCTGGGTGAAACCCTGAGGGCATTTAATTGCTCTGAGCAGCCCCACTGGAGACCCCCAGCTCCACCCCGGGCCCGTTTCAGCTCAGCCTGGGCCCTGCATCTCTACCCTGGGCTGTGCTGGAGCTGTCCCAGCCCCTTCCACAGCCACGGAGCCTCCTGGCGCTCACCTTGGGCCTGCCTCATCCCCGTGATCCTGGGGCTGTCCTGCAGGGTGCCAGGGGCAAGGTGAGCTCCAGGGAGGGCTGTGCCACCCCTTTTGTGGGGACAGGTGGTCCCTGAGCTTCAGCAAAGCCCTGCAGTAGCTGCAGAGCTGCCAGACCCCATGGCACATCCAGCCCCACATCCTCTGGGATTCTCCAGTGCCTGGGTGGGGTTGTGCTCATGGCTGGGCTCTTTGGTGGGTGCTGTAGGGTCTCCCTGTGCTGTGGGAGCCCAGCTGGGAGCAGCGATCCCTCCCAGTTGTTTTCTAGGTTTGGCAAGAAACACAAGGCTGGGTTTTTTGGAGGAGAACAGGTYGATACCATTCCCTTCCTTCCACCCTGTCACTTCTGGAAACTCACCTCATCCTCAGGCCCTTCTGCTCCTTCACGGCCCYCCTCCTCTCCCAGGAATGCCTGAAGGAGCTGCTCAATCTCCCTGCTGGGGGCTGTGATCCCCACCAGTGCTCCCCCACCACCTGACTGGGGATACTRGGGGCCTCCCCAGCTCCTCGGAGCCCTTTCCCCATCACCTGCATTAGTCGTCATTGACTTTGCCTAACATCGAAATARTTATTACATTACCTTTTTKGTCACTTCCTACTTACTACTATTGTTATCACTTATAAAAAGGCCCCGAGGTGCTTACAGAAATAAGTGAGGAAAGCAGAGAGGTTAGGAAAACTTTCCTTGGCTGGGAGAAGAATTTTGCAATCCCAAACCTGCTTCCCTGCTGAATGAAGGAGGGGTCTGCAGCCTGCCAGGGGCTCCTGCTGGCCGGTGGCACCCCCGTGTCCCTGGGGTGGGCAGTGGGGTGGCGGTGCCTGTCCATCCCCTGGCTCTGGGGTCACCCGAGGTCCCTGCAGACGGTTCCTTGTCCCCGTCCCTGTCGGGGGAGCCGGGGCCTCTCCCGCCCGCCCGCCCGGCACTGCTCAGACTGGTTTAGCAAGTGGATGGGATGGGGCGGCCGCTTTCCCTTTGAAGGGCTCCCGGGAAGCATTTGATGGCTGGAAAGCTCCCGAGGAGGAGAAAGGAAAAGACAAAAATAGGTGGTTTTGGGTTTCGGTGGGGGAGCGGGGGAGGCGCGGGGCTGCTCCGGCGGCTCTGCAGAGCTTTGTGCTGTGCCGGCCGTGGGCACGGGCGGGCGGGGGTGGCCCTGCCCAGAGGGATCCGAGCAGCCCCCGGCAGAAGCAGGAGCTCCCGGCCTCGCCCGGGCCGGCCTCGCCCCAGGGAGACACGGCCAGAGCGGAGCGGGGATGTCCACCACGGCCCAGAGAGAGGTGGGTGCTCCGGCCCCGCGTTGGGCAGGCTGGCTGCGGTTGGGGTGGCAGCAGGGTGGGGAAGCGCCGCTGCAGGAGGAAAGCAGGGCCAGGGACCCCCAGCCAGGGTCTGGCCCCTTCCCCAGCCCCCACCGCCTGGGTGGGCTGTGCTGTGGGGCCCCGGCACGGATGGGACCCTGAGTGSTGGCTCTTGAGGGTCCCTGGGGACCCAGCCCAGGGGTGGGGGCTGAGGTGGGGATKCTGGGGACAGGCCGGGGGTGCCTCTGGCTGTGTCTAGGATAATTTGAGAGGTGTGAGCCGAGGTTTGCTTCTCCACTTGATCCAGATTTCCTCAAAATTTGGCGCCTTTCAGCTCAAGTCTCTGTGACTCGGGGCTTCACCTCCTGCTTCTTCGTGAGAGGAGGACCCGGCTGTCCTTTCTCACCATTCCATGGGCCCGGAGCACTCCATCCCCACCCAGAGCTGGGATCAGGGATCAGGGAGCAGGGTTTGCTCCCCAGCTCTCCCTATGGACCCCCAGCAGCCCCACCSCATCCAAGCTCCAGCCCCCGGGTTGGGTCCCCGTTCCAGCTCCAGATCCTCCCTCCTGCACAGCGTCTCCCTTCCCAAACCCTCTTCAGCCTCTCGGTGCCGGCTTTTCGAAGGGAATTCTGCACGGCATGAGGGAGGAAAACGTGAGCAATGTCGGGAGGGGAGCGCGCCGGTGGCCGGGGCACGGGGAGCCACCGTTATCKCTGTGCCATCGCGGGTGGCACGTGGGGACACAACGGGACCGGCGGGGGCCCCCCCGGGGCAAAGAGCCGGAGACACAGACGGGCTCAAGGCCGTTCCCCCGGGGCAGATAAGGGCAGTGCCTGGGTTTGAGCAATCCCTGCAAGGAGAGGCTGCTCCACCTTGGGAAATCYTGGACTGATCCCTGCAGGGCAGAGCAGCCTGGTAGGAGCCCAGGAACGGGATTCACCCRGTGCTGCAGCTGCGATGGAGAGGAAGAGAACTCTTTGGGATTGTTTAATTTATCACCGAATTGTGGAATCATGGATTGTGTTGGGTTGAAAGTTCCTTAAAGCCCAGGGCCACCCCTGCTATAGCAGGGACACCTTCCACTGTCCCAGGCTGCTCCATACCCCAATGTCCAGCCTGGCCTTGGACACTGCCAGGGATCCAGGGACAACCACAGCTTCTCTGGGCACCCTGTGTCAACACTGTGAACTTCCTTCTTTCCCCATCTGGTCCTGCAGRGCTCGGTGAGATGTCCCCATCCCTTGCCTCACCTGGGAGCCCTGGAGAGAGCTCCAGCAGCAGCGCAGCTTCCCTGCAAAACCAAACCCTGCTGGCAAGGCCTGAGCCATTCCCATGTTTGCTTTCCTGAGGGCTCCCCAAACTCTGCTCTCTGGGGTGCTCAGCCCCCCCAGCTGATGGTTTGGGTCCCTGGTGTGGGGTGGCAGGTGTGACATCAAAKCTCTGCTGTGGCTCCTGGCTGGAGCGGTCACAGGCCTTGTGTGGCTGCTGTGAAGCCCCTGGAGCAGCAGGAATTGCATGGGAACAGCAGGAAACCCACAGGAACAGCAGGAATCCCATGGGAACAGGCATTCCCCTTCCCTGGCAGGACTCYGGCCCCTTTCCCTTTGGCCAGGGGGGTAGAGCAGCCTTAGCCCCCCTTCTTCCCCTATTCCTGTGGTTCTTGGGTCCCCTGGACATGCTGGGATGTCCCCAAGGTGGTGACAGCAGCATCTCTGTCCATGTGGGATCCTTCTGGGAGACACAGGGAAATGGGGAATCTGGGGCTGGTTTGGGAGCCCCAAAATCAGGGGTGAGCACAGGGAGGAGAGCAGAGGAAGGCTCGTCCTGAGCCTGGCACAATGCAGGGAGGGGAGGGGCTGGGGACAGCCCAGGCTGGATCATCCAGAGCAGAATGGCTTTTTTTTTTTTAGCTCTTTCCCAGAAAGGTGATTTTCATTCCTTTGTATCTCTGGATTTTTACACTGCTTCCCTTCAAAAAGTGAAACCCAAACCTGGCTGCYGGGTGTCTGCGTGTGAGCCGTGCTGGGAAGGGCCATGTCCTCCTACCTGTCTGTGCTTTTCTAGCTGCTCCTTTTTTTTTCCTTCGAGTTTTGTCCCTTTCACTTTTGTTCCTTCCCTTTTTCTCCCCTGGGAATGTGAAGTGCGAGCAAGCAGGGATCTCCCCTTTCAAAATTAGTTTTGGTGTGAAATTGAATCATTCATGGAAAATACGGCATTTTCTCATTAGGAAGTACCCCTGGCTGCAAAAAAATGGAWTTTTTTTGTCCCTTGTTCCCTTGTTTCAGGGCAGGGGACTGAGTTTGGGGACAGTGGCCCAGCTGGGGAGTTGCTCAGCTTGGTGGGGTTCAGGCCTCAGGTTGGGACTGATCCCTTCATCCCTGTGGTGCTGGAACTGCCCAGATCCTATGGCTGATGAGACTCCTGGCAGGGCTCCGAGGCTGAGATTGAATCCTGGGGTGCCGGAGCTCCCTGAGCATTGTGTGGGATCACGGCTGGTGGCAGAGCCCCTGGCTACCTGCTTGAGTTTGGGATTTGACTCTTGGGGTGCTGGAGCTTCCTAAACTCCCTGTTGCAACATGGTTGGTGATGGAACTTGGCATCGGRATGCATCCTGGGGTGCTGGGGTTTCCTGAGTACCCTGCTGGAGCACAGCTGGTGACAGAGCTTGGGGTTGTGCCTGAATTCTGGGGTGCTAGAGCTTCCTGAACTCTGTGTAGGAACATGGCTGGGGGCAGAGCTCCCAGCTCGGRGTTGGGATTTGAGTCCTGGGGTGCCAGAGCTTCCTGAGCTCCATGTGGGATCATGGTTGGTGGCAGAGCTCCCGGTCACCCGCTCGGKGTTGGGATTGGGGTTAAATCCTGTGGTGCTGGGGTTTCCTGAGCTCCCTGTTGGAACACGGCTGGTGACAGACCTTGGCTTTGGSATTTGAATCCTGAAGTCCCAGAGCTTCCCGGCTGGAGCTGCGCGTTCACCCGCTCGGGGCTGGGATTGAATCCCGGGGTGCYGGAGCCTCCCGAGCTCCGTGTGTGATCGCGGCTGCTGCCGGAGCTCCCGGGCACYCTCCCCGTGTCCCTTTTATGCGCGGGTGTCGCGGTGGGGCCGCGGCGGGGCCACCGCTGTGAGTCTGATTGGCTCCGCACCCCGCGCTGCTCCAGCTCGGCGCTTCCTCCTCCCGCGGCCAGGTAAAGCCTTCCCGACCGCCACCGGCCTCCCACCGCCGCCACTCGCTCCGGCTCGCCTCAGGCCGTTTTTTTCCCCTTTCCCCTCCCCTTCCTTGCTTTCTCCTCGTTTTTCCCCCCCTTTTTCCCCAGTTTTTCGGGCCGGGCTCGTCCCCGCGTGGGGTGCGGGGGGATGAGCGGTGGGCTGGTGGACGCCGCCGTCTTGGCGCCGCTCAAACCTGTCACCATGTCCGGGGACCCCCACGAGGACACCCCGGTCTTCGAGGACATCAAAGCCCCCTCGCGGCCCCTGGAACACCCTCCCGACCTGGCGCAGGTAAGCGTTGGGAAGGGGCCACTTTTGCCTGCTCAGGTGCGCGGAGCCTCCTGAAAACCTCCGGATTTGGGCCAATTCCACTTGGTTTCCCCCTCTTTGCTGCGATACCTCCGTGGCTTTGCCAGCTCCTGCGTCCCCCTCGGCYGGGTTCTCTCCCGGGCGTGTTGGTTTTCGCTCGGGTGTTTTGGGTTGGGTTTTTTTGCCTCCTTTCTGCCTTCTTCAGAACTCCCCGGTGTCTGTGGGCTTTGCTCCCACTCCAGGGTTCAATCCTGGGTGTCCAGGGACTCTCCCACCGGGAAGGCCATGGGCTGTGGGGTTGCTGCATCCATGAGTGCCAAAGGGGAAACGTTTGACGTTTATTTTCCATTTTATTGAATTCCGTGTATTTCTCTGCCGCCACGGCAGGGAAGGAATGCTCCTTGAGATTCCCTGGCAGCATTCCCCCYGGAGAAAGGCCGGATAAATCTTTGGGATGTTCCTGCAGGCCCACCCCTGTCCCGGGCTGTGGCCAGAGCGCTGTTGTCCACCCCAGCCGAGGGCCTGAGGCTCCGTGTCCCGCCATGGAGCGCTTCCAGCCGCTCTCCGCGGTGGGCAGCGGGGCGAGGCAGGCCCAGCCCCACCCTGGAGCCGCGCTTTGCCCCTTTTCCCGCTCCGTGGGGTGCGGGGTGCCCGCGGGTAATGATTAACCCCGAGCCCCACGGCCCCAGCGCCATTTTGATCAGGGCGGGAGCGCTCTGGCCCCAGGGATCCGCAGGGATCCGCAGGGATCTCATCCCGGCTGCTGCTCCTCTGGAGACCTCCTGGGTGGCCATTCCCAGGCTGGGGGCACCAGGTACAGAGCTTGGGCTGTGTGTCCATTGCCTCTTCCCTTGTCCCCACGGCCCCAGTGCTCCAAGGGCCATTTTGGGGCCCTGTCCCTCCAGGGTGAAGGCTGGGTATCCGTCTCTGGATTCCCTGGAGATCTAGCACCCACAGGGGCTGTCAGCCATGGCTGTGGGGTCAGACAGGGGCCGTGCAGCCCGTTCCTCCTTCCCTGTGGTGTTCCTGCCCCTCGGTGCMGGGTTTGAGATTACCGGGATCAGCAGCCAGGTGGTGGCTCCTGGGAAGCTGGGGATTATCCCCTGTTCCCTCCGGGGTGAGAAAAGCTCTCAGCTCCCTCCAAATTCCCCCTAGACCAGGCTGGGAGAGGGGGAGCTTGGCTTTCCCCCTTTTTCCATCTGGGTGGGGTGAGGCAGTGGGCCAGCCCTGAGCCACCTCCTGTCCCCTCATGGGGCCACCCATGGTTGGAGACACCGTCACCCCCTGCCCATCCCTGCTGCCCTTCCAAGGGAAAGGAGATYTCTCCTCCCAGTTTGGTCCCGCTTTGCTCCGGGGTGGTGGCAGCTTGGAGGATGGCCTTGGAGGTGTCACCCCTCTGCCACTGACCCTCCCGTGTCCCTTTCTGGGATCTGGGACAGCAGCGGTGGTGCTGAGCAGATCCCATGGATCCCCCTGCCCCCAGCAGCACAAACCCACGCAGGGAGCAGCACCATGGGTGGGACACCCCGAGAGCCCCGGGCCAGACCCCACATTCCCCGGGGAGGGGTTTCCATGGCCTGGCCATGCTCTCCCAGCAGATTCCGGAGGCTGCRGGGCTGTGGGAGGCTGGAAGGGCTGGAAGGCTGCGGGGCTGGGAAGCCTTTGCTCCGGGAGTGTTTTTATGGCACCGTTTGACAAGGCTGGTGCCAGAGGCTGTGACCTGTCAGCTCCAGGCCCTTCCCGCTGCTCCAGCTCGGGAACAGGCGGGAGCAGATTGTCCCTGCGATCTCAAAGTCCTGCTGCCATACATTCCCCTAAAATTGCTTTGCAGGCGGGATTCTTTGCTGTTGATATTTTACTGTCAGTGGAAACAGATCCTTTGWGGGGTTTCCAAGCGTTTTTTCCCTTTCCTTGGCTTTTCCAAGGCCACCCGGCCMTGAGTTAAAGCAACAGGGAAAAGAGGAGGGAAAAGGGCTGGTGAGAGGAAAGCGTTTTCGTTCCTGATTTGAGTTGAAATCAGCCAGAAAAAGTGTTTTCCTCATTACATCTCCAGAGGTAAAAGCTGGAGGGAAGATCAATACTAATACTAATATTAATACATAATAAAAATAACAATAAAAAGAAAAATAAAACTAATAATAGTAACAACAAAAAACCCAACAATAATGATAATAAAAAAATAAAAATAGGAACAAAAATAATCACAAAACTAATAACAACAGCAACAACAATAATAACAATAATAATATAGAAAATAATGAAAAATAAAAATAATTATAAAATAATAGAATGAATAATAACATAATAATGATGATTGATGATGATGATGATGATGATGATGATGATGATGATGATGATGATGATGATGATGAGAATAATAATAATAATAATAATAATAATAGTGCTGCAAGGCACATCCAGGGAATGTTTCAGGAGAAGAAGAGGCAATCCTTTTGTGTGGCTGCTGGATCCCCCTGGGTAGATGAGGGGCTTGGGGGGTTTATCCCTGCTCCAGCATTCCTGGGCACCTGGGGTGGAGGAGCACCCTGGGATCACCCTCTGGGCTGGCTGAGGAGCTGCCCCAGGGCCTGCAAGTCAGGGATTGGCAGGAATTGGCCCCTCCAGGATTCCCTGTGGTTGGGGGGAGGTGGCTGTGCCATCCCCTGTCCCTGAGGGCTTGGGAAGGCACTCCCTGTCTCTCTGGGTCCATCGGGAATTCTGGTGTTGGGGGCTCCAGGGCTGCTGAGGGAGGAGAGGGACRGACAAACCCCCAGCCTGTCCCTTGGTTTAACCCCGTCCTCCCCATGCCAGGCCCCAGGGCAGTTGTGCTGGGGCTGGCAAGCCCAGTGGGGCTGAAATTCCAGTGGGGAAAAGAGGAAGATCCTGGTGAGCTTGGAAAGGGGTTTTCCTTGGGGTCAGGCTGAGGAACAGGAGCAAAGGRCTCCCTTTGTGTCTCCTGAGCCCAATTCCTGCCCCCCTAGCACTGCCTGACCCTGTCCTTGGCTCCCTYGGGGCTGAGGGGGAATRAAACCTCTCYGGCATTGGGGAGGTGCTCGGATGGKATCAGGGAAGAGCTGCTCCCAGAGCTTTTCTTGGCATTTCACATCCTCAGTGCCAGGAATGGCATCTCCCAGGCCCTTCCAACAGACTGGAAGAGGTGCTGTGGTGTTCCCATGACTTTATCCTGGAGGGATTTTGCTTCTGTATCACAGGAGAAGCTGGATCCAACATTTTTAGGAGTGTTCCAGCTTTCAGGAGCTCTTCCAATCCTGCCCTGTCCCTGTGCCATGTCCTGCATCTCCTTTGGCCACATCCTTGTCCTGGATGGGTGGCTGTCCCTTGGAGCAGGGATGGGTTTTCAGGCTCCTTGTGCTCCACCACCTTGCACAGCCCAGCAGGAACCAAGGTGATGGGTCCTGGAAAAGGACCCAGGTCAGGTCCAGGAAAATCTTGATAAATAAGATTTCATTTTATGAAAAAGGAATAAATACAATTCCATAAATAAAATTCCTTTATTTATCACAAGAGGTGYTGGAGTGCCCAGTGCAGCTCCCAAGGGAAGTTCCATCTCCCTGGGCTCTCAGGAGCTGCAGGAAGGGAATAAATTTGGCTTTTCTGTCAGAAGAGGAGACATGGTGACTTTGGAATTTTGCTGCAGACCTGGAATGAGAGGCTGGGCCAGAACCATGGAATCCCAGATTGGTTTGGGTGGGAAAGGACCTTAAATCCCACCCAGTGCCACCCCTGCCATGGCAGGGACACCTCCCACTGTCCCAGGCTGCTCCCAGCCCCAATGTCCAGCCTGGCCTTGGACACTGCCAGGGATCCAGGGGCAGCCACAGCTTCTCTGGGAATTCCACCCTGTGCCAGGGCCTGCCCACCCTTTTTGGAAAGGGGTGATTCAGCTTGGACATATCTCTGCAGTTTGAGGACCCTCCAGGGTGCTCAGGGGTGACAGTTCTGTGTCCTTTCCCTTGGTCCTGCTTGTCCCAGGGATTGGGACACCACAGATGCCAGTCCCATAGGGCAGTGCCCATTTCCAGGGCTGTGCCCGTGTTTGGGGACAGGCCCTGATCCTGTGGTGCTGCCATCAGAGGTGTCCCTGCAGGGTGGGGACAATGGGAGGGGACTGGGTGGGTTTGGCACCCGGGCAGAGCCACCACCCACAGCTCCAGAGGGTCCAGGTGCTYCTGCAGCCTTCAGCCCTGGCTGGGCAGGGAGCTGAGCTCATCCTGCCAGGATCCCATTTTTCCAGCCGTGGAAGTGGAGCAGGCTGGTGTCCCCTGCTCCTTCCCCTCTGTGTCCCATCCCTCCTTCCCCTTCCCGAGCTGCTCCTTCCATGGAATGTGCTCCCATGGGCAAGTAAAGTGGTGCTCCGCATTTCCTCCCGGATGTCTGGGAAGTTCTGCCCTTGAGGATCCTCCCGGCTTTGGAAAAGGGTTCTGAAATTCCACAAAAGTGTGCAAAATCGATTTCCAAAGGGTGCTGACAGTACAGGCAGGCTCCAGGATGTGCAGGAACAGGGTGGGAGAGATGGAAAGTTAAATCTGGACACAGAGGAACGGACTCAGCTGATCCCTCTGGGTACAAGGGATGGGTTTGGGAGCTGCTGGGGCTGGGCCTTGTGTCAGGAATCTCCAGGCAGAGGGATCCTTCCCTCTGTTTTGCTTTGGGATCAGCTGATCCCGGTGTGCTCGGGACCAGTCTGTGGATTTGCAAGTCAGATGGGCATCATGCCTGGCAGGTGTCTGCAGGGTCACGGGGAATTAGGACAGATCCCCAAAAASGATCCATTTATCCGTCTGATTTTGCAGGAAGAGCCTCAGGGAGAGTCCCCAGCCCACCCGGGGCTTGGTCCCGTGGCTGATCCACTCCAGAGCGTGCGGGAGGCTTTGGATCAAACCAGCGAGCCAAACCCTGGGAAATTCGGGGGGTTCATCCATAATATCCATTATTTTACTTTTCTGGCGCATCCAACCCCC